TTTCATGTAAACAGGGACAATCAAAAGCTAAAATGTTCCAGGAATAAGATGCAAATATTACAAGTGGGTTTGCTTCCATATGAGTTTGGGCAGTTGTGCCTTAATTAAAATAAAGAATAACTTTACGATACCATCTATATTATTTGATACATTTTTGGCTTTGATTGCTGCTGGCAAACTACTCACCGAAGTTCTCCCATAAAGATCCCTGTTAACTTTGATGAATCTACTGTTTGGAGGCTACTATAATCTTAATCCACTTATTTTAGGTTCTCATTTGGTTCTGTGCTTTTGAGTTTTGGAAGACACAACTATATATTATTTTCTGTATATTTTCAATGACACCCTCAATACTACCACAGCATTAGTCCTCGAAATATCCAAGTGCTTTTTCTGTTAATTCTTGAAAACCTTTAATTTTTAATGATCACATAACTGCTAGACTCTTCCTGAAGATTTTTTAAGTAAAATCTTTCATTAAACTAAAGCTTAGAAGAAGATAAGGTCATAAGAGTTTGGATTCTCTTGCTTATATTTGTTCCAGTTAGTAAAATCTCATGAACTAATCCGTATCAAATGAAATTCAAAATAACTAAATAATGGTAGCCATATCAACTGTATCGTTACATCAAGTGACAGAAGAAACTATGAAATATGTTACCTGCATCAAGCAGCATACATTCCTAAAAATGCAGAAATATATATATATTTTTCTATTATGCTGTTTTATATTTGTAAGTTCCCACAATTCTCCTTGAAACAATTGATTTTGTTTGTTAGAGAGAAGGCAGATAACTTAGATATTTGGGGTAAGATTTAAGCAAACTTAAAAATTACGTATTTTTTATTTATTTTGAGAGAAAGAGAGAGAGAACATGAGTGTGGGAGGCACAAAGAGAGAGGGAGAGAGAATATCCCAGGCAGGCTCTGCACTGTCCATGAGGGCCTGACTTAGGGTTCTATCTCAGGATATGCTTAACCAGCTGAGCCACCCCCCGCTGCCTCAACAATGAGGTATTTTTAAAAAGCAGAAAATTAGGCTGTGGACGTTTGTTATTTTCTTAAGAATTAATATAATTTATAGATTTCCTAGAATACAAGCAAGGTATTCTCTCTCTCCCCTTTCTGTCCCTCCCTCTCTCTCTTCTCTTTGACTCCCTCCTTCCTTCCCTCCCTCCCTTCTTCCTTTCCTTCCGTCCTTCATCTCACCCCTCCTTTATTTAATTTTTTACTATGCTAAAATATATATAAAATAAAATTTACCCTTGTGTCATTTTAAGAATTCACTGGCATTGGGGTGCCTCAGTGGCTCAGTCAGTTAAGCATTTGACTCTTGACTTCAGCTCAGGTCATGATCTTGTGATTCCTGAGATAAAGCCCTGCTTTGGGCTCTGCACTAACAGTGTGGAATCTATTTGAGATTCTATCTCTCCCTCTCTCTCTGCCTCTCCTCTGCTGGTGTGAGCTCTCTCTCTCTCTCAAAATAAATGAATAAATGTTAAAAAACATAAAATAAAGTATTTCTCAAAATACTAATTAAAAAAATAATTCACTGGTATTAAGTGCATTCACAATGTCGTACAATTATCACCACTCTCTATTTTTGGAAATACTTATTGTTCCAAGTACAAACACTATATCCATTAAACAATCACTCTCCATTTCTTTTCCTCTGGCAGTAACACTTTCACATTTTTTCTCTCTAAATGTGGCTGTCTTTCTTTTCCCCATCTTTTTGTGACTGGCTTATTTTACTTAGCCTAATGTCTTCAAGCTTCATCTATATTGTAGCATGGGTTGGGGTTCCCATTATTTTAAGGCTAAAGAGCATTCCATCATGTGCATATGCCAAATTTTGTTTTTCTCTTCATCTGATGACATCACTTAAGCTGGTTTGGCATTTTGGCTGTTGTGAATAGTGCCTCTATGGACACAGCGTACAAATATCTCTTTGAGACTTGCTCACAAATCTTTTGGGCATATGCCCAGAAGTAGAATTGCTAAATCAGGTGGTAATCCTATTTTTAATATTTTGAAGAACCACCACACTGTTTTTCCTTATCTCTGCACTGTTTTTCCCCCCAAAACAACAGTACACAAGAGTTCCAATTCCTGGCTAACATTTCTGTTCTTTCTTCTTTTCTTTCTTGAAAATAACCATTCTAATAGTTGGGATATGGTATCTGACTGTGTTTTCATTCCTATTTTCCTAATAATTAGTGATGTGGAGCATATTTACATGTGCTTTTGGGTCATTTGTATGTATTTTTGTTGAAAAGTCTATTCAAATACTTTTCCTATCTAAAAAATAGCCCATTTTAAAAAATTGGGTTGTTTAGTATTGTTGATAAAGCAGAGAAGTTCTTTATATATTCAAGATATGGGTCCCTTATCATATATATGATTTGCAAATATTTCTCAAATTTCATGGGTTGCTTTTCATTATATTGATTGTGTGCTTTTATGCACAAAGTTTTTGATGTTATGTTATTCAGTTTATCGATTTTCATTTTTCTGATGTTTAGTGGTATATCCAGTAAATCATTCCCGCATCCAATGTCATGGAGCTTTTCCCTTATGATTTTTTCTGAGCTTATAGTTACAGGTGTTACACTTAGGTCTTTGATTCATTTTGGATTCATATTTGTATACGGTGTAAGAAAAAGGTCCAACTTCATTTATTTTGCATGTGGCTATCGGGTTTTCCCAATGCCATTGTTATGCTCTTTCTCCATGAGAGGTTTTGGCACCATTGTTGAAAATCATTTGACCATGAGAGGATTTATTTCTGGATTATATTCTACTTCACTGATCTAATCTATTTCACTGGTCTGATCTACTTCACTTGTCTCCAAGCTACTACCACACTAATTTTATTACTGTAGCTTTGTAATAAATTTTGAAGTAAAAAAAAAGTGAGCTTTTCAACTTTGTTTCTCTTTTTCAAGATAGTTTGGCTATTCAGTGTTTGTTAATGGATGGACCCCATTAGGATGGATTTTTCCACATCTGAGGGAAAACATCATTGGAATTTTGATGGAGATTGTATTGAAAACATCATAGTGATTTTGATACAGATTGCATTTGACAGAAATTGTATTGGATACTATTGACATCATGCCACTATTAAGTCTTCCATTCCACATACATGGAAAGTCTTTCCACTAATGTGCATCTTCTTCAATTTATTTCAGCGACACCTTTTTAGATTTCTGTGTACAACTTGTCATCTCCTTGGTTAAGTTATTCCTAAGTATTTAATTCTTTATGAATCTATATTAAATGCAATTGTTTCCTTAATTAGTTTTCAAGTGCCACATTGTTACTATACAGAAATATGACTTGTTTTTGGTTACTAATTGTACGTCCTGAAACTTGGCTGCACTTTATTATGTATAACATTATTTTGTGTGATATTTAATGTTTTCTAATACATATAGTGTTTCCAATACATATAATATCATGTCATTTGTTAACAGAGGCAATTTTACTCCTTTTCCAGTTGGGATTAATTTTTACTTTTTTTCCCCTTGCCTTTCTTATTAGCTAGGACTCTGTAATATGTTGAATGGAAGTCATGAAAGTTGATATCTTTGTCTTGTTTATACTTAAAGAGAAAAATTTTCAGTTTTGTATCATTGAGGCTGCGATTAGATATGGGTTTTTCATATATGACCATTAAAACATTGAGGTGCTTTTTTAATATGTAACTTTTTTGAAGATTTTTTCATGAAAGTTTATTAAATTTTTCTTTCAAATACTTTTATTGCATCAGTGAGATTAATCACATGTGGTTTAATCTTCAGTTAATGTAATTTTTGCATTGATTAACTTTCATATATTGAACCATCTTTGTATTACAAGAATGAATCACATTTGGTTGTGGTATACGGCCCTTTTAATGTTCTATTGGATTATTTTTACTAGTATTTATGTAAGGATTTTTACAGCGATATTCATCAGAGATAACAGTCTAATGTTCTATTTTCTTGTAGTGCTTTATCCTGCTTTCTTATCAAGCAAATGCTGGCGTCATAGAGTTAGTTTGGAAGCGTTCCCTCTTCTTCATTTATTTTGTTAAATTTTGAAGAGTATTGCTGTTTATTTTCTTTTTAATGTTTGGTAGAATTTACCAGTAATGACTGCTGGTTTTCAGCTTTTAATTATTTGGGAGATTTGATTACTGATTCAATTCCTTACTAGTTTTACTTTCGTTACTGTGTCATACTTTCTATCTCTTCAGGATTCAGGTTTGAGAGGTTGCATTTTGCCCAAACTTTATCCATTGCATTTAGATTTTCTAATTTTTCAGTGTACGGTGTCCATAATATTCTGACAATATCTTTTTATAACTTACTTGAGCCTTCTGTTTCTTTTTTAGTCTACTTGAAGGTCTGTCAATTTTGTCAATCTTTTTGAAGAACTAACTCTTAGTTTTATTCGTATTTTCTATTATCTCTTCTGGTCATCTCTGCTCTCAGTATTCTTGTATTCTTTATGCTAGTCTCAGATATAGTACATTCTTATTTTCTAGTTTCTTAAGGTAAACATTTAGGTTGTTGGCTTCAAGATCTTTGTTCTCTTTAAATACAAGCATTTATAGCTCTAAATGCCCCTTACCACCCTGATTTTCACTGCATCCCATAAGTTTTATTACATCGTGTTTTCCTATTCATTGTTCTCATTTTCTAAATCCCTTATCATGTCTTCTCAGAACCATTGTTTAAGGGTTTATTGTTTAACTCCCAAATCTGTTAAGACCTTCCATTTTTTTCTTCTGCTACCGATTTCTAATTTAATTCCATTTCAATGAGAAAGATATTTTGTTTTATTTCAAAGTTTTTAATACTTTTAAGAATTGTTTTGTGACTACACACATGGTCTGTTGTAGGGAATATTCCACGTGTATTTGAGAAAACTGTGTAATCTACTGCCGTTGCATGTAGTGTTCCCCAAATGTCTTTTAGGTTCAGGCTTTCTGGCAGTGATGACCTTCCCACAAAGACGTGACTCTCGCAAAGGACCTCCTCCACCTATCCTCAGAAGAGGAGAAGAGCAAACACCAGAAGAAATGCCTGGTGCCGAACCCCAACACCTACTTCATGGACGTGAAATGCCCAGGATGCTGCAAAATCACCACAGCCTTTAGACGTGCGGGAATGGTAGTTTTGTTTGTTGGCTGCTCCACTGTTCTTTGCCAGCCTACAGGAAGAAATGTAAGGCTTATGGAAGGACGTTCCTTCAGACAGAAGCAGCACTGAAAGCACCCTGAATCAAGACGAGTGGGAAACGATCCCAATAAAAGATTTTGGACACACAAAAAAAATGTCTTTTAGGTCCAGCTTATTAATAATATCATTGATGTCCTCCATATCTTTTATGAACTTCTGTGGTTGTTCTATCCATTATTTAAAGTAGGATATAGGAGTCTTCCACTACTATTGTAGAGCTTCCTATATCCACCTAAAAGTGTGCCAGTGTTTGCTTCAGATCTATAGGAGCTCTGATCTTTGGTGCGTATATGTTCATAATTGTATCTTTTGAAGTAAGGCACTGTCATCATTATGTAATAACTAAATTTGTGATTTATAGATGGTTTTATTACATTTCTTTTAATATAACCACTCCTATTTTTATTTGGTTACAATATTCATGGAATATCTTTTTCCATCATTTTATGTTTAACCTATGCTTTTCTTTAGATAAAAAGTGAATTTCTTATAGATATCATATAGCTGGATACTGTATTTTTTAAAATTCATTCTGCTAATCTATACCCATTAATTGGGGAGTTTAATCTGCTTAACTTTAAAGTAATTGATGACAGGAACGGACTTAAATTTTTTTTATTTTTTAAAATATTTTTAGAGAGAGAGAGCAGGGAAGGGTCAGAGAGAGAGGGAGACACAGAATCTGAAACAGGCTCCAGGCTCTGAGCTGGCTGTCAGCACAGAGCCTGATGTGGGGCTCGAACCCATGAACCATGAGATCATGACCTGAGCTGAAGTCAGACGCTTAACTGACTGAGCCACCCAGGTGCCCCTCTCTCTCTGTTTTGACTTTGGACAATTTAGATTACAGGGTGTCTCAGTGTGAGTCTCTTTGATTTTTCCTTACCTTCCTTTTGTTAGCTTCTAATATTTGTATTTTTGTATTTGTCCCTTCAAATCTGGAAACTTTCCAGCCATTACTTCTTCAAGTCAGTTCTCTGCCCTTTTCATGCTCTCTCCTTCCAAGACTTATATACACATGTGAAGGTCAACTTGATGGTGCCCTATATGTCCTTCAGTTCTGTCCATTTTTCTTTTTTTTTTTTTCCTTTTGCTCCCCAGACTCAATGATTTCAAATGATCTGATCTCAGTCTCTGACTTGTTATTCTAAGTGTTCTAGTCTGCTGTTGAACCCCTCTACTGAATTTTTTCAATTCAGTTATTATACTTTTCATATTCAGAATTTTGTTTTGGTGCTTTTAAAAAAATAATTTTGATCTCTTTGCTTATATTCTCATTGTGTTAATATATTGGTTTTTAAAATATGTTCAGTTTCTGTTTTCTTTTAGCTCACTAAGCATATGTAAGAAAGTTTTTCAAATTCCTTCTTATTTAAGTCAGGAGGCTGAATTTTCTTCGGGTCAGTTCCTGATTTATTTTGTTTGTATAAGTGGGTGTTATTTCCCTGTTTCTTTGTAAGTCGTGCAATATTTTTTTGAAAATTGGGTATTTGAAAAACAACTTCCTCAAACTTTGCAATCTGGCCTTCACTAATCAGCCTGCCATAAATGTGCAGGGTCCTTTTAAATGACTGTGCAGAACGTATCTTCCCTGAATCTGTGAGTGCATTGCCTCCCCCCCACACACACAGTTCTCTATTGTACATTGCTATTTTGAAATGTCTTAATTTTCCTAAGAGTATTTATTACCTTTGTTTCTTCTTCTTATACTCTGCCCACACTCCCAACCTGGCAAGCATAAATATGCAATCTCCCTGCATCTCTCTTCTACCTTAGTGTCTTCCATTGTTCTTAGTGTCCTTCATTCTGGTATTCAAACTGCCACCATTTTCATCAGGGCTCCATGTTAGGAGAGAGAAACCCGTCTCCTGGGCAGTTCTTCAACAAGCCAGAATGCACAAGCAAGCTTCATTTCTGTATTTCCGTCCTGAGGAAGAAGCCAGGGCCTGTGACCATGCCACATTTTTTGGGCAATGAATGGGGTAAGAGTAAAGACAGCAAAAATGCCAAAAGTTCCCTACCATGCTGAATGTGGCTTTCTTGCATTGAGGCAATCATTTAAGTGCTGCAGCATCTTGACTGATATCTAGTGTTCCCACAAAGTTACTTTGGTCTTTATGTTGTTTGTTTGGTATTTTCATGGAGAAATGAGGGCCTGGGACTTCCTAATCCACAATTTGCTGAGGTCCTGTAGTGATACATTTAGATTCCCTTCTTATCTCTTTTCATGAATATTCTATAGATATTTTCTTTTCAGTTACCATGGGGATTACAGAAAGCATCCTAAAGTTAAAACTGTATAATTTGAGCTGATGCTAACTTAAGTGTAACCTCATATAAAAACTCTACTTCTGTGCAGCTCCATTTCCCAACCTCCCTTGTTTTTCTGTTACTGATGCAACCCATTATATCTTCATACATCATGTGCTTAATATCACGGATATATAAACATTTTTATGCATTTGTCTTTTAAATCCTATAGAAAATAAAAAGTACTAGTAAAATATTAATTGCATTAATGTAATATGCTATATAATATCAATATGATAGCATAGTAACCATAACACTGAGTTTTATATTTACACTGAGTTTATATCTTCACATGTGTTGGATTTACTGTCTAGTATCCTTTCACTTCAAACTAAAAGATGTTCTCTTATTTCCTCATAAGATAGATTTATTGGTAGTCGGCTCCCTCAGTTTGTTCTTTATCCTGGAATATTTTGATTTTTCTCTCAGCTTTGAAGGGCAGCTTTAATGGATATAGAATTTTTTTGTTTTGTGAAATTTTTTTCCTTTAGTACTTTATATTTTTTAATTTTTTAGTGTTTTTTATTTATTTCTGAGAGAGAGAGAGAGACAGCATGAGCAGGGGAGGGTCAGAGAAAGAGGGAAACACAGAATCTGAAGCAGACTCCAGGCTCTGAGCTAGCTGTCAGCCCAGAACCCAATGCAGGGCTCGAGCCCACAAACTGTGAGATTATGACCTGAGGCGAAGTCAGACGCTTAACCAACTGAGCCACCCAGTTGCCTCTCCTTTAGTGCTTTAAATAGATCATCCCACTTCCTTCTTCTCTCTAAGGCATCTCATGAGAAATCAGCCAGTAGTCTTACTGAGATCCTCTTGTATATGAAAAGTTCCTCTCTTGTGACTTTCAGAATATTTCTTTGTTTTTGGCCATTTGATTATAATGTGTCTCCCTGTGGTCTTTTGTTTTTTCCTATGTTGAGTTCATCACATGTCTTGCATCTGTAGGTTTAAATATCTTAACGAATGTTGGTAGATTGTGTCTGTTATTCTTCAAGTAGTCTTTTGACATTTATGATGCTTGTAAGGCAAGCAGTGTACAATGGATGGGGTTTGAAATTGTAACTTACAGGCTAATTTATGTGGAGGTCAGAGAGGACATTTAAACTAATTGATTTAAAGTATTCATAAATTGGAGTAGTCATTAGAATGATCAACAATATGTAGTTATCACAGACAGGTAATTTTATAACAGTTCCAGGTTCAAACATCTGCATTGTCCAAGCTTTGCAATATCTAAGTATCAACACCATTTCAGGAGGTGAGCACAGTGTTATTTGACTGCATGTTCTAGAATTCTTTTCGTTTTTTTCAAGATAGGTCCAGAAACAGGTAGCTACTTCAGAGATAAACCATTCTTTTAAATTAGAATTGGAGAGGTGGAGAGGTGGAGAGGTTGGAGAGTTGGTATACAATATGTACACAGGCTCACCTAGTCAATTACCCTAGCATCATAATAAGAGGTGATGCGGCCTTTATGCTCGCATCAGTCCATTTAGATCAGTGTTCATGGCAAGGGGAGCTTTGTTGGAGGAATTTGAAAACCCACTGGACATAAATATCTTTGAGATGTAATATTTCATTTTTGACAGTGGTAGTATTTGGTGGTATTTAGTGTTAGAGCCTGAACACATATTACAAATGTATTTCAGGATTTCAGACCAGTGGCTTACAATCCAGAAGGTCAGTGTCACAACTATTCAACTCTGCCTTGTAGCAAAAATGAAGCATAAATGACACGTCAACAAACAAACTTGTCTGTGTTTCAGGACAACTTTGCTTAATGAAACAAGCATCAGTCTACATTTGGCTACTTGGCCAAGTGTTCTCAACCCAAGCTCTAGAATACTGATTCTGAGCACCTGATTCTGAATATGAGGTTGAGATCCAGGGAGGTGCATTGTGATCAGAGGGTCCAACTGACGTTGATATACCCTGCAGTTTGGAAAACCATTGCACTATATCATTCTCCAAAGAGAAAATACGTAGGGAAATCTTTTGTTATTCAGAACAGAGACAGAAAGCATGTCTTGAGAGATTGGAGGTGAGGGGCAGCATTCGGCAGCTGCGTCCTACAATCCTGCTGTAAGAGGAAAATCAACTAAAAGATGAGAAAGTTAAGATGAGAAGCAAATCGAAAGAAAAGTTTCCCACGTTATAAGTGATACAAACTCTTTGTCCTTTTTTTCTAAATTTTGCAAAATACGCTTGATTTAACAGATGTATAACAGCTTTCAACAACTTTTCAGCTGAAGGATTTGGGTGGCGAAATTGCTAGAATGTCCGTCTTGGCCATTGCCTGGAATGTTTCATCTCTTTTCAAGAAAATACACTGTGTAAGGTTAACTACAGGTCTACGTCTGAGAGAAAGGCTTGCCTGTCTACTTGAAATAAGTAATACCAGTATTTAAAAAGTTCATCTTCTTTCCTGCACAATTGGCTGTGCTGGGTCTCCAGCATAACAAACACCCGCCTCAAAAACCCTGGGGACTCTTACAGGAATGTAAATGAATGGCACCATAAAGAATAAAACCCAGCGCCCCCTTTCCAAGTGAATTTCCATAATCCAAAGGGAAACAATCAACCCATTGAGGGTTTCACTTTTTGTTACTGAACATGTTTAGCCTGTAAGAAATGCCAGAGCCCAATGGCCATGGGCGACTTCCGATGACTGATTCTATAGAATCCATTGCCATTCTTCATTGGAAATCCTCCCTATAAC